CAATGCCTCTAGCCTTGCACCACTGTGCGAAGGCAGCCCAGGTGGCATTGTAGATTCTGGTAGTAGAGGGCCGCCTGGACGCTTATATCGTTCCAATAACCTTGTTAGAGATGTTCTGTTTCCTCAGGAGTTCTCCCTCAAGTGCCAGACGGCTAGTTGCAGCCACTGGGGGTCCAGATGACTGATGGCCCCTTGGCTGAGGGAGACTTGGTCCTGAGGAATTCGCCACGGTCTCTGAACGGAGAGACTGACAAGGTCTGCATACCAGGGCCTCCTGCGCCAGAAGGGAGCCTCCAGGAGAAGTTCTGCTTGTTCGGTCAGGAGTTTGGTCACCACCTGAGGGATAAGAGGCAGGGGAGGAAACGCATATAACAGTCCCTGGGGCCACTCAGATCTCAGTGCGTTCGTTCCCTCCGCCAGCGGTGAATGGTAACGGCTGAAGAAACATGGGGGATGAATGTTGGAGTGTGTGGCAAATAGGTCTACTTGCGGTTTGCCGAATCTCCTCACGATCTGCTGGAACAGGTCCGGGTGCAGGCGCCACTCCGAGTGGTCGATGCGTTGGCGGCTCAGCCAGTCTGCCTCCCGGTTGCTGGTGCCGGAGATATGATCTGCACTGATAGAAGCCAGATGACGCTCCGCCCACCTGCCCAGAGCCTGCCTCGAGCATGAGGGCCTTTGAGTGAGTGCCCCCCTGCCTGTTTATATGGCCTTTTGTTGCCACATTGTCTGTCATTAACAGTACATGAGTCCCCTTTATGAGTCTGGCAAATCGTCGTAGTGCGAGTCGGGCTGCCCTCAGTTCCAGCCAGTTGATGCTGTGGGCAGCCTCCCTCTGTGTCCACTGGCCTTGGGCAAGGTGGCCTTGACAATGGGCGCCCCACCCCTGAAGGCTGGCGTCTGTGGTGACAACGACCCTTTCTGGCTCTTTGAATAGGCAGCCTTTCCTGACTGCCTTGGACCTCCACCAGGCCAAAGATCGGATCACCCTCAGCGGGAGCCGAATATGCCTGTGGGAATTGCTGATCTTCGCCCTCTGCATTGGAAGGAGAAACCACTGCAGCTCCCTGGCGTGAAGATGAGCCCAGGGAACTACTTTCAAGCAGGATATCATGATCCCCAAGAGCTGAGACAGCTGGACGATTGGTACTGACCTGGAAAGCCTGCAGTGCTTCACTTTGTGTCTCAGGTTGGACAGCCGGTCTGGAGAAAGAAATACCTGGCAGGAGGTGAAGTCTACATCTGCTTCATCTTCTTCCTCTAACTCCGATTCCTTAGAGGTGGAGGCTTTGGCCTGATGCTTCTTTCTGGGGGCCTTAGTTTTTCAGGAACCCCTCCACAATCCCTTGGGAAATAGCCAAGGAGATCACCTCCCTCATTTCGGCCAAAGGAGCCGGACTTTTGCCCTTCCTTGGGCAATGTTTGCTAGGCCTGCGGTGGCCAGCTCTGCCTGAGCTAGAATCACCCTCCTCACACAGGGTGCCCTGAAGGGAGTCCCGTTCCTCCCTGATGGAAGAACTAGGGGAATCAGAGTAACCCCAAGAAGCCTCCGGTGAGGGATCCCTGGATCCATACTCCTCCCCAGAAATGAATTTGCTGCCCCCTGGAGACTGGTTCTCCTGAACAGAGTGGGAATGATCCCTGCTGTGAGGGGTTGATAGAGGTTCCGCTGCCTGGTGGGGCCTAGACACCTCCCTGGTTTCCACTGTGGCTCCTGCAGTCCCTGGGGAAGATCTGCCACTAGGACCCTTGTGCCCTTTGCCCTTTCTAGCTATGGGATCCAGCTTGCTACGCTTACTGGAGGGCCCTGCTTGCTCCTCCAAGGCCTCCCTGCATTCTTCAGCCATGTTCAGAGCACCCCACGGGACATGGAAGCCAGATGCTGCTGGAGCGGGCACACGTGTTGGCCAGCTGGCTCGAAAACGCTCTTGCAGACTCTTCAGGAGGGAAGGGCCGCCTGCTGGACGGGGTCCTTCCTCCCACCGCCCTCAGAGCCCCAAGACTTAGCTTTGGAGGGAAGGGAAGGCCAGCCGGCGCCCCGGACTAGCCCCGCACCTCCCTGCAGCGTTCTGCTGTTGAGAGAGTGAAGATGAGGCTCTCCCTGGGCTGTTGTGGAATCTTCGCTCTCCCGAAGCTCCGACAGCCTTCTTTCTTGACGACCTCGCTCCGGAAAAGTAAAATGGCAGCCGGTGCACGTGCAGCCTCCTCCCGCCAATTTCAAGCTCGCCTCAGGGAAAAGCGGATGAAGCGGCTAACGGTCGCCGCTATTGCCGGGCAGACTGGAAACCGCCCCAGCTAGCGGCGAAAGGCCCGCAAAGCCTCCACTGAATGGCGGTTGGGGATGGGAGCCTGGTTCTGATGCCTAGATGGGCCTCCCACCACCCCCACCACTCGCCTGCAGCCGCTGGACAAGTGGCTCGCACACCCTGGATCGCTTGTGACCAGCGGTGTCAGGGCTGGCCCGGGTGACCTCTCAGCTTTAAAGACGAACCTGCACAATTCACCAAATATGAAGATGAAGAAAGGTGGTCCAAGAATTTGGGGAAAAACCCCAGCCTATCTGTTCTTGAACTGGAGCACTCCCAAAACAGTCCCAACGGGCGGACTGAGTTTTTAAACTGAGCATGGTGAGGCAAAGGGAGGCGTGGTCAAGAGAAAAACATCACTCAGTCCAACGGCAGGTAGGCTGCGTTAACCCACGCTTGGACTCTCCGAGCAGTGCACTGGAGAAAGAAAGATGCAAATGGGTAGTCATATAAAATCAATAAATTAATGAATAAAACATCTGTGTTTTAATTAACAATTTATTCCAAGCCTCATTCTTCTTCTCAGTACAATGTATATAAACAATTTAAACTGTTTATAAGCCATCTGAGCAAATTTTAATTGTTTGTCCATTTTAACTGACACTTTGTAATTTGTATCAATAGCTAAGTAATATTTATAATTTCTTTACATTTCATTTTCATTTGTATCAACCTATGTAAGATGGTTGCATCCTACCCTGTTTAGGTTCATTATTGTAAACTATCGAATTCAATTTAGGCATCTACTGACATAGTTCTAGTCTCTTTCATTATACAATCTCATAAAGGAGAAATCTCTCCTACATAGATTTTTGTCCATTATGCTCTGCTTTCTTGGACAAGACATTCTAAAATTATCTTCTGCTCCAGCAAAACACTTCTAGAAATAGTTTCAACTTTGCTGTTAAGAGTGACATCCCTAAATCCATACACCCCTCTCCCAAAATCCAGCAAAGATACCCTGACTTATTTATCCTTCAACTTATCAAAAGAAAAAATATGTTGTTTTATTCCATAAATCCAGACTGAAATGAAGTTTCACTTTGCCTCAACATTTCCCAGCTTCTGTATTCTAGCCACACTGTGAAAAGAATGCAGCACGCAGACCATTGACCTTACCAGTCAAAAAGCTCCCAACAAAAAGCCTAGTTACCAACAGAAACAGAACTTGCAGGCCTTTCTTTGAAAGGTTACGCTGAAATTTAGACCATTCTAATTGCGAAGCGACCGTTCATTTTAAAAACAGCAATTGCTGATCTTCTGCGGTTGCTCTTAAAGTATCAAGCTATCTGGACAAACTTAAATCAATGCTTCAATCAACGCTGATGAATGCTATTAAGAAAATTATGATTACATCGCTCTAAGACCTTAAGTCACTGATCCTCAAACTACAGCACTTGGGCCAGATAAGGTCCGCCAATGCAAAGTATCTGGCCTGCGGAGTGGTGGGATTCTGTCCCACCCCTCATCCCGCCCCTCACCATCGGCCTTATCTTCCAGTGAGCATCCACTCTAGCTGCACTTCTGGTTAGTTATTTCATTGGTTGAGCTGCACTTCTGATCACATCGCTGCAGCGGAAGGTAAGTTCAAAGGGTGCTGTGGAGGACCAGCTGATCAGGTGATCTCACCAGTGCAGCCACGTGATCCAGGGCCGGTGGGTGAGTAGGGTAGGGGCTGCCGATGGCTTGAAAAGCAGCTCTGCTGCTAGCTTGTAAAGTAGTGCTTTAAAAGTCTTTAAAAACACTTTAAAAACAGCCTTACAGGATGTTTTTCACAGCCATATCATCAAGAGCTGGTGGATGAGTAGGGGAGAGGCAAATATAGCAAAGGCAAAGGCAAAATGAACTACTAAATTGGCCACACCCACCCAGTCACATGACCAACTAGTCACGCTCACCCAGCCAGTCTGGCTTCCCAACAGTCTGATGGATCATGAATCAGACCCTTGTTTAAAAAGTTTGAGGACCTCTGCCTTAAGTGTTCAAGGTCTGCTATTGTCATATGCGCTTCTCCTTAATGCAATTTTCAGCTTCACAAGAAAGGAGGGATCACTATTCAGTATGTACAAGCAAAATTAAGAAGTTATTACAATGTTAAGCTAAAGGAGTAGAAAACAGAATTTAAAACTCATTCATCCATGAAGCTTCTAAATGACCTGTGAGCAGTTACACTTTTTCAATCTATCTCATATAATAGCTGTTCAGAAGCTGCCCAGTCTTCTGGAGTTGGCAGCCATAACAAATCCAATAAATTTAATTAAGTGTATGAAAAAACATAAGGAACAGCTAAACTAAAAAAGTATAAAATGAAATTCTGGATGAATTTCATACACATGATGCTTATGTTGATAGATTTTGATAATTGGCATTTAACCATAAGATTTTACAAAGAAGGTTATATATTGTGTTGGGGATTTTCTCAGTTTACTTTGCAGTATTTAGAATATCAATGAATTTAAATATTTCAGATATCCAGTGTCCAGACAAAGTGGAAATGATTATCCTTCACCAGAATGTCTAGAAAAAGTGCAAAAGATTATCCTTCACCAGACTAAAATGCATGTAATCCACATAGCACTACATTTAAATATGTAAGAGTTAACACTACTTTCTCATTGGCTTCATCCACAACCCAATGTGTACCAAACAATGTATCACGTTCAAGTTGAAGTTTTAGGGCTATAATTCTGAAGTAGAGAATTATATGTAATTAATAACCAATTCATATGAATGGATTCATATTATAGCTTCATTCAGGGCTATATTATAATAAAAGTTTGCTAGGTGGCTACCATACAGTCTAGAAGAAAGAGTATCAGTTAAGTCCCAGTAGAAAATACAATGAGTATCGTGGCATTACTGATTTAATGAGTAAATCTCTTTAAGACATTTCATTGATATAGCCAGCATAAAATTAATTATTTTGACACAATTATTGCTATAAATTATTTATCCAAACAACAAGCTTTCTATTAGATTAAAAAAATATATACTTGGTTTACTGCTTTGTCCTTATCCTTTTTTTTCAACACAGGTCTTCCCATATTAATTCTTTAAAAACAAAACCACAATCATGCTAATAATCAAAATCTGAAAATAGTAAATATAAATATTAATAATTCCTAAAAACCCTACAAGAATTCTGCCCAACTGCAAGCTCAGAAAACTATTTTAAAAAATTAGAAAATGTTGTCTTCTCACATTCCTAAGTGCTATCAGCCTTTCAATAAACTATAATTAGAAGAAAAGGGAACTTACCTTTAACTCACCTGGAATGAGTTTCAAAAATTTGTGCACTAAGAAAAGACAATTGGAAGTTTAGCTTTTGCTCACACATATACATCCTAAGGAACAGATTAATCATTTTTTTAACTGTGAAAATTGAAACAACTCCTTCACCTTGAGGCTGGTGCGGGAACGAGGCTGACTTAGTTCACGGAACTTCCAACTATCTGATCCAGGAGTTTCCACTGATCCTCTCTGAGTATCAGGAGTAAGAAGCGCATCTCCTGGAGGGAGTGGAAATATGCCCAATGATATAGGAGGCTCCTTTCTGTAGATAAGGGGGACAATATCATATGTTATAATTTCTTAGAGATTCTCGATTTTTGAAACTTAAAATTTTTAAATCATATTTATCATTTTAAACGAATTCAAGATAAATACTCTCTTATTACTTGTGGGCATTACTTGTATATATTAATTACTACTTACTTACTTGTGGGCAGTAGACAATGTATATATTAATTCATTTAAGGCCATGTTACAAACATATTTTCCTGAGACAAAGCTGATATTAACACCTGTGGTTAGAAAATCTTGGCTTATATTAAAATTGTGATGATTAAGCATACATTTCTGAGCAGGAAAGTATCATAGCAACTACACACTACAAGTGTGTAGAAACAAATGAAATAGTTTACGCATCACGTTTGGAAAAAGGCAACCAATGATGAAAGATTAGAATTTAAAACTTAATCATCAAGTACCATAACTGTGGTTCCAACAGCTTTTGTAAAGAAACACAGACTAAAAATTCCCAATTTTCACCTGATGAAAATTGAAGGGGAATGCTTAATATTTATCAGATCTATTATGCATGTGCATTTAATTTGAATTGAATTGAATTTGAATTTATTGCACTTATATGCCGCCCTTTTCCCCNTCACTCAGTCCAAGGGCAGATAGGCTGTGTTAACCCAGCATTTGGGCTCTCTGAGCAGTGCACTGGAGAACAAGGAGGTGTTACAAAAGGAGGAAGGGATGGTAAATATAGCAACCCAAATTTTACTTTATAACTTATTAAATGAAATAATAAATGTATAAGAATGAGAAATGTAAAGAAGAATACCAATTCTGTGAATGTATATTTAAAATAGTATGTAAGAGGATAAAAAAATAAAAATTCTTTGGAAGAACAACAGACTAAAGTCACCAGAAAGGCAAACATTCTCAGCCCATTTTTTTGTACTTTAAAGGTTACCTAGATTTTAATTCATTTACTCTCTAACAATCTTTATTCTGTGACCTTGATGATGATCCTTTTCAAGTGAAAGATCTTGCGTAAGGATGTATTCACATGTGTATGCCTTAAGGTTTCCAAAGTATTGTTTTGCTATATGAAGATGAAACTAAGGCAGGATTTTTTTCCCTACTTCCATAGCTGCTCCTTTTGCCTAGCCTCCAAGGTAGATATAGACCATAAGTAAAGAGCAAGGATGACCTAATTGTAACTATCCATAACTGGTTTTGCAATAAAGGGGAGAGAAAAGGTGAGTAGAAAAGTTGTGGATAAATGAAAACCTTGACCCTCAACTCCTAGAAAGGGGAAATGGATCACTGAGGCAAGAAATGATTAAAATAGAGAACATCATAAAAGTAATATAATCTGCCCCAGCTGCCAGGTAGGTGTTTACAAAACATTTATATGGGACATCTGTACAATTGTTTATTCTCATCTGGGACTTTGAACAGCTGTTCAAACTTTTTCTGAAATCTGCTATATAAACATTCTTAGATGTCTATTTAAAATTAATTGAACAAAACATATACAATTCAAAGAAACCACAGATTTATAAATATTTAGAAAGTTATAGGCATGTACTTGATGAAATTTTGATGTTTCAAATTGTGTGTTAGTCATGTTTTTTCTTCATTTTTATTACAATTATTTATTTCCTTTATTTATACCTTTAACACAGTGTATAAACTTTGTAGGCACATTACACATCATAACATAAAGTAATTGCATTCTAATTATATAATATTGTCTATTTAGTATTTTGTAATATATATTTTTACACAGAGAAGACCCTAGAATGTTAACTTCTCTTTTATCAGTCACAATCATTAAAATCTTATCTTTCTTCAGTAGAAACTGGAAATATTAGATGAAATTCCTATTATGGGTTGTTGAGGACAAATTACATCGCACATAAAACATACTGTAGAACTTAGTAATACCTCTTATTAAAATAGATACAGTAAAAAGTAGTGTGGTTACACTCTCTAAATGACAATGAGGTACTGTAAGCTCTGTTCCCTTCAGAATCATTATTCCTAAGCATGTTATTTTCTGAAATGCAGTTACAGAGAAATAAAACAATATAAAGAAAAAGAAAGAGCATCAGTGGCTCTTCAGGCTCAAAGACCAGCTTTCTGAAAATAATTAGATGTTAAATGCAATGTTATTACTAGAAACAGGAATGTTATATGACAGAGATGAAGTTAAGGCCAATATTTTATACATTATAGCTTTATCAATCTTCACATAGCAAAATAGTTGAGCTAAAGCTTCATTATTATGGATTTGCCCTGGAGTAAGTGATACCCATTGGGATTTAATAATAGTAAAAAAAGTGCTTAATCAGCTCACAAGGGCTCTGACATCCTACCTAACAGGAGCCTGTTGCCTAATCAGAATAAGGTCAGGGACTCTAGGGAAAGTTTTTCAACAAGTAGTTACCTTGCCAAACTTAAAATGGTTGGTAAGTACTCCATTGCAGTAATGTTTTAAAGTATTTCTATGGCTCGAAAGTATCTCACCTATGTTGGCTGAGACGCCATAAGACCGTATAGTTTGCAGACTGCTAAAATGGACTTGTGCTCACAAAGTTCTGGACTTAATCCAATTAAATCGGAAAATGCCCTTTATTAAGAAAATTAGTAATAAGTAAAATATTTTCTATTATGTAAGATTTCTGTATTAATAACAAACAGGAAAACATTTCTCCTTATTCTATATATTAATCACTATAGTATAGAACAAGAAGCTAAAATGATTTATGAGGATTAAAAAAACAATTCTCGCATAAAAACAGAATGGAACTGGAAAACTAAACTTGTAATGTAATGCACTACCATTAAAACCCAATTGCTATGTTTAATAAATCATTAAAAGAAAAATGTGTTTGATCATTGAATATCACAGGAAACTGCACAAATAGTTCCTCATGTATTAGATATAGCACAAATATCTTAAAGTATCAGTTGTATATATGGAAAGCGGAATGAGGAGAGAGACAACAATGATGTAATATGAAGACAGAGACATTTGATGTAAGGGACAAAGGCTTTGTGAAACAATAAGTTGAGAATCTGAATTAAATCTTCATTACTAGTTGAAAGAAATTGTACCAGAAGCAAAATATATAAAGATCTTGAAACAATGGAGTATTATGTATGTTTGCTGCCTCGAGTTACTTATAGAAATAATATAACACAAGATTTAAAAACATTTAATAAATAATGACATAAATAAAAATTCAATTAGATATATGGTAACTTGGAATATTACTCCAACTTGGAATAATATTACTTTTTTTTAGTTTTTCTCCCTCTCAAAAAATGTTTTAGTTTTTCTCTAAATGAGATGGTGGCACTGATACAAAATAAAAGATCTTATTTTTCATCCTACCATTTTCCTGCAGTTGCATAGTCCACTTTTTGGGTCAGCAAATTCCATTTCATGCAATCAAATGTAGATCCAACTGGATTCCTTCAGTGAATTTTTCCTTTTTATTTGCTTCTTTGCTTATAATCTCTCTGGTTCACAGCAATCTAAAATTTTAGATCCTTGTAAGGACTAGAACAAGAAATAGTGGTTTGCCTGGATAACATATTACATTGAAATATTTTTACAGAAGGTTGAAATTGGGGCAGGAGAGGATAACAGAGTCTGAATAATTAAATTTTAAACTGTTATATTCCAAAACTGAAAAGGTACAAGCAAGCAGTGGCAGACATTACTTTATGGATGGTTAAAATGAAGATAACCTATCTTTCAGTTAGCGGATTGGGAAGGCAATAATAAAAATAAAAAAAATCAAGGTAGTGAATCATGTAAAAGATATGAAACCTGTTACCTTCCCTCAAGAAATACACAAAGATAATGAATGGCATGTAATCTTTAAATGTAGCTTTTTCAGTAAAGAAGTGTCTGCAACTTCATGTATCAAAAGAATAGCTGTAATTTAATCAGGATTTTCTTATACTTTTCAAGGAATTGCAAAAGAATATATACACATACTCAAATTTCCATATGCAAATACACTCATACAAGGCTTTACAGATTAGATTTGCACAAATTGTAAAGTGACAGAATTGCTTTCTGCAGAAAACATTTTACACTTGAAAAACCAATATGGTCTAAGTGACTGGGAGCCGATATGAATTGGAATTCTAGCACAGCAATTTCTAAAATTTTAAAGAGCATTAAAAATAGATCTAATCTAAGCCATAGTTGGTATAATAAAAATTATGAATAATGTTTCATATTAATTTATCTGTGTCCTAAGGTCCATGAGTCAAAATAAAACCCTTTATTATTTTTAAAACAGATTTGTTACAGCTTTAACAATTACATATATTGGAAGCTGGAAAAGCTATAATATGGAACTAAACAGCTTACTCTCCTTCAGAAAGACAAAAGAGAGCACATGGATAAACCAAAAAAGGAGAAGGAGGATTAATGAATTATTACATTAAAAGATGAAATGCTCTTGGAAAACAGGAAAATTATGGAAACTAAGAGGAAGAAATTAGAATTATGGGAGTTAGATATTACAGTGGTCATATTATAGTGAAACGATTAATGACAAATTGTGGAGAGCATAGCCATTATTTAGGAAAATCCATTGAATCAAAGATAAGACCATCACTGGGATTTATTCCATTTCCATGATAACATTACACATGACAAATTACATCTTTTGCATTGATTTACATAATTTGCGTGATGTTATTATGTAAATAACAAATTGATGCAAATGATGTCAATCAGTGGAAATTTTATGCTCTGAATACAACATCTATTATGTTGAATTCCAGTAAAATTACCATAGAGGACATCATAATAATAAAACCTTAGAAGGCTTAGCCAATGGGCTGAATAAAATGCAATAACATAACCTGATAAGATCATAAAGCTTTGGGCAAAATGATGGAAAGATTTTAAATGTCACAGGATATTGCAAATNGGTGGTAGGGTTTGAATCTCCACGGGGAGCTCGTTCCAGAGGGTCGGAGCAGCCACAGAGAAGGCTCTCCTCCGGGTAGTCGCCAGCCGGCATTGGCTGGTGGATGGAATTCGGAGGAGGCCTAATCTGTGGGATCTAATCGGTCTATTGGAGGTAATTGGCAGCAGGCGGTCTCTCAAGTCTCTCAAGTTTGCACTTCAAAAATCAGAAGCATGAGCAATAATCATCCATACAGGAGCAAACGGGGGGGGGGCATTTTGCATTGTCTTTTTTTGGCAGAAGTGATAAGGCTTTTGAGATTTAAGAAAAGCTATTTCTAAAATACTTGATTTATAGATACCTTAAAACCTTCTTCCTAGCTTTTTGTCGCGTGTCCATGGTCCATTTTTCAGGTCAACGAATGCCATTTAATGAAGTGAAATGCAGAATTGGGCCCAACTGGATAATCTTCATGTTCATGTCAATTGTGTCATGCCAGCTTTGCTTTGGTCTCCTGTATGAGTGTCTTCTGTATGGGTTAAAGTGGTAGCAGTGCAGGTAGTGTGGGATGCTGCTCATATCACCATAGGCATTTCTCATGCATTTTCTCTGTTATAAATGCAACCATCTTTTACAGTGTTCAAAGTATTTTTAATTTTATTGAATGTTAATTGGGTCTTTTTAATTTTCCAAGGACTCCAGACAACAACCAAAAATGTTCCTAAATGAATTTCACTTCTGAACTTTTATAAAAGTTAGGGAGGCAAGCACAGTAAAATACTGTATATGCACTGATTTATCTCCATGTTTTTGTGTCTAATTATGCAGAAAGCATGAGTTAATAAGATCAGCATATCAAGAAATCACTGGCCTTGTATAAGATGCTCACACAAAGAGTTGGGCCCATTGACACATCTGGGTTACATCGAAGACTGCAGGCTGTGCAACAGAAATAAGCCATCTTATGCCCTCCAGAATACAGTTTACAGTTCAAGTAAGTCCTATTCATATATCCAAAGGCCAGAGATAATGGCTGAATTGCACTATAGCTCAGTCTTTGCACACAGCAGCACACATACTCACAACCTTTGACTCCTCCCTTTCTCTTATGTATATAAACAGAACAGCCAATATCAAATACTCAGTCGTTTAAATATGGAAACAGACAACAAAGACACACACTGAGCAAAAGCACTTGCTGCTCAGGTAAGCAGTATCTGTGAGTGAGCCTTCCAACATCCAAATCAAGGTCTACATCTTATGTTGATAAATAATTTAATGCTTTTTTCCGACACCTTGACAGCTGTGCAATGAAATAATATATTTTCTCTACACCTAGAGCTAGAAAAAGTAATGAATGCTTTTGTATTCGATTAACCACAATTTACTATGGCATGAATCTTAAAACTGGTCGTCTTAATTATGTACAATTAAAGTAAGACAATATCAATAAATAGGACTGGATTTGTTCTACTAATAACAGATTAAATTAACCAAAACTTGATTGAGTTCAAACTTTACAGTATGGTACTATTACTGTATATACTCGAGTATAAGCCTAGTTTTTCAGCCCACTTTTTGGGCTGAAAAAA